AATACAAAAGATGATCTATGTATTTCTTAAAAAAAATCAATTTTGTTTTGGTATCTAGAGAAAACACACCCAAATATCAGTACAGTGAAAACAATTAGTACAATTGAAAAAATGAAAAAAATTGAGAAAAGTGTACCATCTAAACTTGGATTCACAAGTAGATTTCAGCATTGGTTCTTACAGACAATGTTAATCAAATGGAAGAAAGATCCTAGTATGATGACTTGAATAGAATAAATGAAAATAGACGACTTTAATATTCAACTTTTTGCTGATCCTAGTAAAAAATGGCCATAATGGCAAAATTTATTTTATTTCGTTTAATATTGATAATAACGTCGGGGTATTAATATTACTTTAATTATATTAAATTTTTACAAACTTCGGCTATATCTGGAGTAAAATATTACTTCGATCCTTATCAATTCTTGAGCACTGTTGTATTTGACGAATAGAAAATTTCTTACATCTCTTGTTGTCATATTTATGGAAATAGATGTTTGGAGACCTTATGAATAGAATTGAAATGAATAGAAAGAAAATGCCACGATTAGTAGATAAGTCAAAAATATATCGAGGATACATCATTTATATTTTAGTATTATTTATACAGGGTGTTTCATTAACAGTTGTCCATATAGTAACTGGAGATACCTTAGCACAAAATACGAAGATTTAACCTAAAACACTAATCACATGCTATGATTTTTGTGACTGATATTTTTAAGTTAAAGTTGATTTCTTATAATTGAATGAATGAACTATCTTTCAATAAAATCCTTACAACTCATAAATATTGGCAATATCATTTTGATGTCTTCTACTTTAAAATGTTTAATATGTCTGATTTGCCGATATGAATGAGTCAGATTAAATTTAATTAGAAGAATTTTTTTATTAATAACAAAATTTTTGTAATTGATTAATATTCTGTATTTCGATAATGACCTCCGCAGTGAAAGTCATAGAATTCGTAGAATAGCTTACTGACTAATGGGCGTTTGTAGAAATAGCTTAACCGTGTAGAAATTTCGGTATTGTTGTAATTAAATTTAACCGATTTAGAATTTTCCTGATAATAGTATCTACTAATTTTCTACTAGTTTTATTAAATTTTGTGCAATTTGCAAAATCTTGAAGTTTTAAATAATGTTACGTTTACTTCTAATAGGATTGCATGATTTAATGTTATCGTAGAGGAGGGCCAACGCGGTCCTGTATCACACCTGCAGACTATGAACGTGCCTAGCGGCCTGCTTCTCATAAGCACTGTACTGAAATCCTCTCGTGAAATTGTCTATAGTGCCAAGAGAATGGTACACCCTTTCTATTGAATTCATCCATATATTCCAGTTGAAAAATAGCGCCTAGTAATTTTTTGACTGTTAAATACTTCAATTTTTTGTGTTTAAAAGCTAATTGGCTGCATATGGCTTCCAAAAATTCAAAAGGCTTTCAAAAAAATAAGTTCAGTACACATAATGTATAAGAAGTAACAAAACTTTTTTTAAGTTGTGCAATATGTTTACAATTTTAATAGACTCTAACTAACAAATTAGCACCGTTCAGTTTGTATTTGCACAATTTTTAAATTATTGAACTTATGCATGTTATTCAGACTACAAAATTTATACACTAGTGCACAAAAACCTGCCAATTTAAAATATTTGAAGAACAATTTCATCTTACTTTTAATTTTTTTTATTATAGAATGATTTCCTTTCATTCTGTTAATTTTTTTCTGTTATTTTTCTTCTGCTATTCTTTTTTATTTTGACAATTATGGAACAATTAAAGAAAATATAAATTGAAAAATAAACTAATTTGCTTATAATGGGAGTTGGGTATATAGGGTTCCACATAGCTTAGACTGTGACTTTCATTTTCTGAGGCATTTCACAAATTAGTTTAAGAATACAATAAACTTTCTTGGGACATGTTATTACATATTGCTATAACCATAACACGAAGTTTATTGTTGCTCTTAGGTAGCCTTTGAATAGCTTTGAGTAAAAACAAAAAGCTATTTATATACTTATTTATTTATTTACCAACCGGCCTAGCCCACTTTTATATACAATTATAAAAATTGACAACCTCAATAGCAATACATTATACATAAAGAAATTAAACTAATTAATTCAACTGTTCATTTGTTGAGGACAAAAATGCTGCCACTGGTTACACATAGTTCAAAACCTAAGCAAATTTCATAGATACAAAATAAAATCTGAAATTTATCTTAAAGCAACCCACAATACTAAAGATCTCAGTCTGCATGTACTTTCAACACACTTATAAACTTTTGGGGTTTGGCTTTTGGAGCTATGCTCGCTCCTTTACTTTCATAAGATCTTGCAATTTCTTGACTGATGATGTTGAAAGTCAAGTACATTTGAAGTCCTAATATACCAAATACAGCGATAGGCTGGGGTGTTAAAGTATCAAGTTGTAAAGTCTAGCTCACGCTGTTCACCGTTAGACAAACCATACCAAAGGGTAAGAATGGACAATATGATGCTACCGAGGCAAGGTACCAATTTAAAACTGTTTGATAACAAAGTGGTCACTTTGGAGAATTTTTCGACTTTGTCAACTCTCTGGATGAGTTGGAAAAAGTAGTAAACCAATTCAGAAATGTGATGAAGGACCAAAAGAGAGACTAGTAAGTGGTTGAAGTTAAGGAAATAAGGGATAAATATGAGTGAAACAGCTGCCAAGCTTTGTGTGGCTTTTCCAATATATTCTTCTTTCTTAGCCCTTTGGAAATACAGTTCAGGAAGCTCATGGACATTATATGCTAACTGTACAATAATACACAATTTCAGCAAGAATGGCATTGGTGCTGGATAATCTACCCACAGGCGAGATATGGTAAACATAAAGTTTTCTTTGATAATAATGTCAAGATAATAATGTCAAAGTTGATATTAAGTAGAATATTGTCAGTTGACCACTGATGGTGAAGACTGCTAACTTGGATTTGGAGAGGTGGACTTTCTTGTGAGACTTTATCTAAGATGTATTCTTGAATAATGGCATGGATAACAATGCAAATCAAGGTGTAGAAAAATATACAAGCCCAATCCTTAACACCAGGACTATAAAGGGGCACCTCTCCTGCTTCTGTTACATTGTACTACAGGGTTATGAATATTGAAGCAATTGGAGATGTAGCTTGTACCATAAGGCCAACTACAAACACATTTTGAATAACAAATTCATGGCTCAAAATAGGTGGATTTTTATTTGCAGTTGTTCTTACAGGTTTTACCATTTTTTTGTTTTTTTTATAGTTTTACTACCAAAAATGTTACTGCTATATTCACATATTAATCTAAGTTACTTCTGCCACCACTTGCCTTCGAAAAGTAAGGTTTCTCCACTAATCTACATTTACAACAATCAAAATTTACCACAAGTGCCACTCAAAGACATGTCACAAGACATGGACGCTATAACTGAAATAAACATAAAATAACACTACAAACTTGCTGAAAGTTATGTTAAAAAATTCAAGATTATCTACATGGAGTGTTGTGAAGTGAATATGGTGATCTTGTGCTCCTAACTGGGGATTTCACCAACATTTTAGAAATCAATGAAGGGCAGTCAATCAAACAATTAATGATTTTAAAAAATAATCATTTATTTTTTGAATATTTGCTTTATATGTGTGGTCAAAACAATATTCTAATAGGGGCTAGACTATAGTATAGTATGTATGTACTTCTCTTAATACATCCAAGCACACCTAGAGCTCTAGAAACTATCAGGTCAATAAGATTGACAAATGAGAGTAAGGAGCCCATAATAACACCAAGATCTGGAATACATGTGACTTGGGAAAACTGTGAACCCTTTATTCTCTATTTAAAATCAATTTTGTTTAGTTTCTTTGTAAATATTATGGAGGGACACTTAGAAATGTTAAGATCCAATCACTGATCTTACACCATTCGTATAGTCTGGCCAGATTTGCCTAAAATTTAAGACAGTCCTCGAGGATGATATTGAGAGGTAACACTTTAAATCATCTATGAAACATAAAGTTTTAACAACCTTGAAGCACTCTGAATTAATTTCATTCATAATAGTACAAATAGCAAAGATCCCACATGGGATCCCTGTGGAACTCCAGAGGGATTGGAAATTTGTTTAGGCAGAAAATTATTTACTTTTAGTACAATTACAGTTTGGAATCTTTTAGACAGATAAATAGCTAACCTTTTTAACAATATTTGCTGGACACCAGCAATTTTTAGTTTATTTAATAAAATTCACCAACAGATTTCTTAAATGTAGATGATAGAAACATATTTTTTTGTATTGTATACTGTGTATAATTGTAGTATTTAATGTGAATGATTTGAATCAATCTTTAATCTATTTTAAACAAAATTTTATTCTGTCCAATAACTGTTCACTAAATGGGTACTGTTCAATGCCAGAATATGTAATCTTAATGCCAGCTCAATAAGTTACCTTTAAATCTTTATAATCAGGGGAAACCATATGTGGTTTAATTCAGTTTAAAATAATATCTTATGTATAATTTAAATGTGCAACAAGAAACCAAATTCAGAACCTTTTTAAACTTATACTGATTCCATTCTGTGTCTAAGAATATTGTGATTGTTACATTTGATGGGACTAACACATAAATAATTATTAAATACGATATATCTCGTAACACTAATAATGAGGAGTGAGGAAAATATAATCCAAAATGTACCTTAAAAATCACTTTTTACTGCATCTAACTTTTAAAAATCATAGAGAAGACCATTTTACAGTGAGTATAAGATATAGTTGTGTACTGCATAAATATGTATTTTTTGTATAAAAGATGAAAAACATTTGTTTGTATTCATTCAATAAAACTATTTAGGACCATAATATATGCTTAATATGAGAATCCCACATAATCTGAATAATTCCCAAAAATAATTACTAAATAGGTGCAAAAAATAATTAAAAAATTAACTATTCATACTTACACAGGCTTCCAACCAGCAGGTAAGGCTTTCATTAATCCTTCAGCAGCTATGGGAAGCAACTGAGGTTCAGAATCTGGGTCTATTCCAATTTTCACTGCATAGTCTTTAATTTCTAAAAACAGAAATAAATGTAAAAAAACCTGTATTGTTGTTTTAAGTAAAAATATAAATTTGCACTTAATAAAACAACACAAAAAGTATTTGATGTGATTAAGAAATAAATTATAACATAAACGTCATTGTATTATTTTTTTTAATGTATAAAAATTATAAATATAAACATGAGCATTGCCCCAGTTTTTCAAATATCAACAAACCTTCCTCGGAGGGATGACTAATTTCATCAAAAATCTCTTCACAGATTATAGACATTTTCAGTATTTTATTTTGTATATATCCGTAAAATCATTAGTGCTAATCTCTACATGTTTAATATTGTACAGCTGATTTACCATTTGACATTTAGAGCGGATAGAATTTTATTGAAAAATTTAGGGGTAAAAAATAAACAAATCCGGGTAGTTTATACAGAGTCATCTATAGGAGAAACTGTGAAAATACCATAAAAAATGCAAACGATCTTATTAGTTTGGGTTATTAGTATATATTTTGCAGCCTAGATGTCCAAAACCATTTTATTTTTTATATAACCATAATAATCCTTAAATAAATTCCTTTGAATGATTGTAATGGTTGCCAAATAATTTAGAATATGGAAGGATGACTTTAATATTTAAATTCCGAAATACATACAATTTTTCACAACATTAAAAACTATACATTCTATCGCTGATCTTTATTAAATGGTTTTAGGAGAATAAATAATATATTCAAAACTAAAGTTTTAAATGAGGGAAATCTTTTAAATTTTTTGCTTTGTAGCCATCAAAATATAGTTTTCTTCATAAAATGTCATCTGCCAAAATATTGAAGTGGGTGTTATGAAACGTCAATGTCTACTTAACTCCAATAATTTTTAGAGGTCAAAGGACGTCCTTAGACGACTTATCAGGTTTGACGTGACTTTAATAATTTGCCATTTACCATTTAAAAGTGGAAGTGATATCCTCGGCTAGGACTTTTTATTAAATTACATTAATTTAATTCATTTTCTATATATAAAAATGCCGGTAAGTCATTCAATATTATTCAAATATACCTATTTTGGAATTTCATTTGTTTTTTTTTAATTATTACATAATAGATTTGATATAATCCATAGTGAGCAGTATGGTAGTTTTCCTTTGTAAAATGTATTTTTAAAACTATTGACTGTGGTCATATTTTTTAGTAAATCACAGCAATGCTTCTGATCCAAATATATAGAAAAAAAAATATCTAGAAAATGGCTTAATTAGATTCTGAATTATTTCAAATATTGAATGAATTAATTGAATATTATTAATATTCATTCCATTGCCAATTCAATGATTAGATTGATACTGTTTGAATAAAATACCCACTTTAATTAGGGATACTTTTGAATCAATGTACTTGTAATATAATTTTTATTTAAAAACATTAGTCCCATCTGAAGTTTACTTAAACAGTTTTTTTTATAAACATTATTGATTATGTTGACCATAGCTTTTAACTAACACAGTATCAAAATATATTACATGGGAAAGTTTTCTACAATTGTTTAATAAAGCAAGTCCTAACTTAATACTTCCTAAAGATGGATATGTTATTTTCAAAACATTGTTGTATTTCAATATTTTTTTCTTTTAAAAATGAAACATAATACCTAAATATAAATATATAAAGAATGTGTAATAATTTATCTAAATCTAAATGATGTGAATGATAAAATTTACAAAAATCAATCTTTACTTTTTTTATTTCTTCATTTTGCATTTAAAGTTTATTGGAGCACCAATTATTGCATTTACAGATCTCACATTTTAACTATCATGTTTAAACTGTACATACTTTTTTAATTACAACAATAATATTTCTGTAGCAACTATACCTCATCATAGTAATTGGTCTAGAGAGTTCTGTTATTGATAAACCATCCAAATTTAGTTAAATTTTTATTTATAATACTGGAAAACATAGCTTAATTTCTCTAGTTAATTTGCCAAAGGGCTCTTGAAACATGTTTCTTTAAAGTAGGTTTTGCATAGATATTTAGATATAGTTAAGTAAATGGTATCTTAAAAAAATGATATCAATGTGTCTCTTTCGAATTTTTTTGTTGATCACAAAGAAACACAACAAGGATATAAAAAAATATTTTACAAAAGACCACAACTATTTCTATGACTCATCCAATTGTCAAATTGCCTAAAATAACCTTTGTAGAGTTTCTGATAAGAAGTAAATCATTATGATCATGGTGCTATAGTCTTTAAAGAGCTTCAGCCTTCTCAACCTTTCTCCATGATCATACTCTGTCACTTGCTGGGATTTTCCAGTTGGTAACATCAATCTTTTCAGCATCCTATGTTACCCCGTTTATCCACCTCAGCTTTGATCTACCCCATCTTCTTATTCCCGCTGTCTGTTTTATTAGAATCATTTTTACCATGTTCAATTCTGGAGCCTGGACTACATGCCCTTCCTACTGTAGATCAAACTGTAGATGAAAATACTTCCAATCGTGATACAGCCTAAACTGAGTATTGAATTCTTTAATCTGTGCACTCCTATGCCACTTGCCTTTAAGTTTCAGAACATTCAGCAAATTGTGGGCATCCATTTCTATTTTCTATCTTTTCCATTGCCTTCCTTTAGGTCTTTATATCCCATTTTCAGTAATAGGTCCAATGATCTTCCTTACAATTTTTCTTTCTAAGAACTTTTTATTTTCTTCTATATACCATCATAAAATACCATTAGTCAAATGATGGTTTTATAGACCTTAATCTTTGATTTCCAATGTACAGTTTTGAAATAGGCTTTCTGGTGCTTTGTTATTGTTTTTTGAAGTTTGGAAAACTGACACTAATTTTCATTGAAAAATGATCTTCATCTGTAAGGCCCACTTTTGAATAAATGTTTAAAATCACTGTTTAGTGTGGATTTTGGACTGGTAGGGTCATTGGTCCATATTTCTTTGAGAATGATGTTAGCCAGGCTTCATTGGCCTGAATTGGATGATTCTTGTTGACCGTTTCTTGTGAGGTTTTCCTACCAATGCCCAAAATTTCCAGAAAACTTTTCAGTGTCATATATTTTAATAAGTACTGTGTTGATTAAAATTCTAAACCCAAAAGTTATTCACTTAGCTTTTATGATTAAACATATATTAAAATTAATGAAATCTTACAACAAAATGTTTAAACATTTATCACTCTTTCATAGAATTTTCTAAAAGATTTTGGACATGTCTTTTTTTATTAAAATACTTCAAAGTTCATGCAGTTAACATTATTGGGAGGAATATTCATATAAACCAAATATGCAGCGAGTTAAAATGATAAGTTAAAACATTAAAATTGATTTTTTTAGTTTTTCCTAAAATTTCATTTTTAACATGTTTCGCAAATTTCATCCATTTCCAATTCCAAAGTATGATCAAAACTAGCCATACATCGAACAGTAATATTCATAAAGTATAAAACTTTATAGGGTTACTTGCTGACCTACTAATTTTTAAAACTTTTAAATTGATAATAATATTACAATTACAGCAAACATTAAAATAACTGAAATATAATATGAAACATTGTTGCAATTAGAACTGTGAAAATTAGCTCCCAAGTATCTACTCATTATTGCAGATGCTGATATTAATTAGTATAAGCAACTAGTTATTCGTTTTCATGCTCATTAAAAACCTCTTTGTGAAATTGCCAAATAAGTGTTAATTAATGCTTTACTCCTTATATTTTAATTTTCTCTTTTTTTAATATTAAACATAAATTAACATGTTATTAAAAAATATTTTAGCATCCTATATGAATTTTTGCCAGAAATTGATTTGATTGTGCCAGCTATAGAAACGAATATCTTAACATTGAAAATAGTTTTTGGCAACTGTTTAGTCCTCAGTCAAAGAGGGTTTATTTTTATTTTAATGACAATAATAATCTAAATATAATTGTAGCTAAATATATAACAATAATATCAACAAAGTTTTGTTATTTTAATTTAAAAAATTAATTAGAACAATTTTGTTTCTTTGATAACAAAAACTAATTATATTGTAACTGTTTTTGTTAAGCTGTTTGCATGAATAAATGTTTTTCCTTAACACACAAAATTTTAGTAATTTCTTCAACTTAAATAAAAATTAACAAATTACCAATTACCATTATTTGTCACTGAAAATCACTTTTTAAAATGTCACTTCTGTTAAAAATAAGCTTGTAATTCTCTCCCAACAAGTCAAGGGGCCTAATCATATATACTTTTATGTAATTACTAGGATTTAGGTTACTTTTCTTGTCATTCTTTTTGAAAATTCTCGTTGTTGTGTTTGTTCTAGTCTATTGTTTCTATCAGGAGAATTGCACAATCCTTGTTTATCCAATGTATTCATAAGTGTATTCATTACACTGGATTTCTCTCAAACATATTCATTTTAAACAGAATTATTCTGTAAATTTTTCAATTTTCTAGAGGGTCCTTCTGAATTATCCAGCTATTTTGACATGTCTGCGTCAGTTTCAGCAAAGATCAGATAAATACATTTAGACCAGATACTTAAATGAAATTAATCATATTTTCTTATTAAGTATTGTTGACCAATTTGTTAATATTTTACATGTCTAATGTTTAATTTTAATGTCTATAATATTCTGGAAATATTTCTACTGCTATTTTAATTTTTTTTCTATTTTTTCTACTTTACCCGTAAATTGTCTATTTGTCTTTCAATATAGGCTTCAGTTCTCTCTAATTCAGGGCTTCCCAAACTTATTCGTATTGTGGCGCCTTTAAGATTTTGCTCTTTTTTGAGACGCTCCCTTAACAAAACCCCCAATAATTACTTACCAGTTTTAGTACTAGCCTAGTAACAGGTTATAGTTATAATAAAAACACTATTTGAACATTTATATTTTTTATTAGAAATTAAGAATCAAATCAAAATATAGGCATAAAAATGAAAAGGGATATTTATTTATGTACTGGCTGGTTAATGTAAGAGATGTGCTTGCTTTTTTGAGCACAGCTTATGAAACCGGGTTCCAGTTTGGAAATGGCCACTCTATTTTCTTTTTCTAAGTTTCTAAGTCTAGTCGCAAATGGCAATAAAACTTTTAATGCAGCGGTACCGATGGCATGATATTCATGAAAAAGTAAGCTTCAAAATTCAAACAGTTTGTCCTTGTCGTATTGAAGCTTTAGGCTGGAATCACAGGACAATTGTGCCAGTTGTTCTATGTTGAAAGTGTCGATGGCGTGGATGACAGGAAAGGGTTTCTGATCCAGTCATATTTCTCCATATCTTCTGGAAAATATTTCTCAAAGTGTTGGCTCAATGATAATATGTATTGTTTTTAAAGAAGGATCAAGGATTTCTATCGATTTTTTTGGTATAATACCTTTTAAAACAGGAAAACAGTCAATTTTTTGATCTTCTAATTTTCTCTTCCATAAAAGCAACTTCTTCTAAAACCCAGTAATTTTATCTGCCAATTGCAGGCTATGAGTATTGTTTCCCTGCAAAGATTTATTAAGATCATTTAATTTGTTAAATATTTTACAGAGTTATGCTAATTCTATTATAAACACAATGCATAAAGTTTTGCGCATTATCATATAATTCTGTGTGTAGATATGTGTAAAATTAATTTCTTAATTCGTATACACTTGCGAGTATGTTGCCTTTTGGACAGCCAACTAGAGTTGCAATCATAAATGAAAGAGGTGTGCTCGGCTCCCATTTCTTCACAAAGTTTATGGAAAAGTTGTGATTTCACGGGTCGTGTTTTAATGTAGTTCAGCACTTTAATAATGCTATCCATCACAACACTGAATTCAGGTGTAACGTTTTTTGCTGCTAAGGCCTCTCTATGTATGACACAATGTGTTCCTTTTACACTTGGAGCCTTGGTTTTGATGAGAGCTTGTAGTCCTCCATACTGTCCAGACATCGCTCGAGCACCATCAGTACATACGTCTACACAGTTATCACAGTTAATATTATTTTCAGTCATATATGAGTTTAAAATCTCGAATAAATCAGTAGCTTTACAACTTTCACATATTTTTCTGCAAAATAACACATCCTCACATACATTTGTTTATTGTGTGTACCATACATAACATATCAATTGAGCATCATCATTACTATCAGTTCCTCGTCCAGTTGAATGGCAAATAAACCTGAAAGTTTCTCCACAATTTGCTTATTAATATCTTCTGCCATGTCGTGAATACATTTTTTATTTCTTTAGCTGCTGATTCTTCAATCATCACTGTTACCATATCAACCGCTACAGGTAAGATCATTTCCTTAGCGATCCTATTTGGTTTTTTACATTTGGCAACGCAGTAAGCTACCATGTAAGAGGCAAGCAATGCTTTGGTAGGAATTGATGCTCTGAAACCAAATCTGTGGTCTGATGTTTTAGGTCTCGCAATTTTCTTACAAAAAAGTCTCTTGACTTAACTTGTAAATGACTGTAAGTTGATTCAAATGTCTTTTTAGTTTATTAGGAAGCATACTTCCAGCCGACAACACTTTGTGACAAACGATACATTGTGGAAGTTCTACATTCCCTTTAGTAACGCAGGTAAATCCCAAATAAAAATATTGGTCATCATATTTCCTATATTTCTTCTTTTTACTTAAATAAACATTATTGCTTTCGCCTGATTCTTCACTTCATTTTCTATTCAGTAAAATATAAGTATCCATTGTTGATAACAAAAAACTCCGCGTGCTTAATAAAAACAAAAGCTTGACTAAATGACATAACACGCTAGCGCCCGGCGCTCACTCGACTCCAGTGTTGCCAATGTCCGGATAATTATTTAGTTTTCCAGTTATCAAATTTCGAATAATTCAAATCGACTTAATGTTAAATTTTTTATTTTCTTTATAAATAAATTATATTTTATACTCATTTAAAATAAAATAAATATATTTTCTGTATTAAAAGTCTGCGCTGACACGCAACATCCCTGGGACAACGCATCGATGCCCCAGGGCACAGTTTGGGAAAACCTGATTGTTTAGTGCTATCGTTATCATATTGTTTATCCTTTGTTTTACCATAAGTTTGCTGCACTCCTTTTTCCTTGATCACATCTTTTCTATATTGTCCTATTGCTAGTCTTTCTTTTTCTCTTTACCTCTGATACTTCGTCTTTTATAAGCTTAGAGAAACGACCCCTAATATTATTACATAGGCATCTCAAACTGATATCGTAAAATCCACAATAGGTTTCATAATATTTACAGAATTTAATAGCGGGCATTTTGTAACAGCGGAGTATATAATCGTTATCTCATAAAAATGTAAATTTACTGTGTAAAAATATAAGAATAAATTCATGTTCACGTTAATTGAAAATCTATGTTACTCTTTTATTATCAGTGTATTTACAACATGTTCTAACAATTTTTTTTTCATTATTAACAAAGCTTCGAATTAAGCCATGTAACATAAAATATTTTTATATTTCATCAAATAATTTACTTATCATGCGGCAGAGTTATCAAAAACATTTTAGATATTTAAAAATAATATTAGTTTTATTACTAAGTACATAAAATTGTAAAATTAGAAATGATGCATTTATGTGGGAAATAATGTTTTTAGGTTATCTGAATCTAACATGAATTGTGTGAACTATGTAGATCGTAAAGTACGTTTTTGATAAATAAAATTAGAATGAAATGAACATAACATCCATTTGTCTTAATTGATATATTGTGTAGGTATATAGATTTTAAATTTGTTTTTAAGGGTGATTTATTGTTTTTACTAACAGCCATAAAATATTTTTATGATATTACAGGTACATAAATATAATATAAGTATTATGTAATATTAGATAAGAATATCTCTTTAGTTTAATTACTATTTAACTGGGAATAAGCCACAATTAAAGATAAAAATACGTTCAATGGAATAATTCAAATGTAGTCCTAAAAGAAACGGATGGTAAAAAAAGAAAAATCAAAGAAGCGGCTCTATGCTAAATGAGGCCAATTGTGTCGCAAATTCATCGGCAGAATGTAGTAGGATCTGGTTACCATTATTGAAAGAGGAAGTTATTAATAAGAAAATACCAGTATTAGTAAGTCAGTAACATATAGAGGATACATCATTTATGTTTTTAAATAACGAAACATATAAAATCAGAATTTTGGTGTTTATTGAAGGTAAACTAAATGCACGAACAAATACTTACCATGTCGGGATAGTATTATGAGGTTTTTCCTGGGTTTTCCCTCATAATTTACTATGGAATCACCAACAGGAGAATTTTACTGTCATCATGTCATGTGTTTGTCTTTTTAAAGACGAATTACATGCTATGATTTTTTTCTGACGGATATTCTCAAGTTAAAGTTGATTTCATGTGAAATGAAGTAAATAGCTGGGAAGATTTGGCAGATGTTTTGACATAAATAGTTGAAGATAAACTGGGTAAAAATGAGAAACATAGAAAAGAATGGATGTCAAATGAAACTTAGAATCTGATCGAGGAAAGAAAACAGCAAGAAAGATATTTTGCAATAAGAACTGTAGAAGAAAGAGCGAAGGTACAACAAGAATATGAAACAATATATAAAGAAGTTAAAGAAATGCAAGAAGGCACAATAGCAGGTGGGCTGAAGAACTGGCAAAACAAGCTAAAACAGCTGCACAACACAACAGAACTAGAGAGCTTTACCAAATTACTAGACGACTAACAACAAATGGGCCCAACTGTTCAAACATTGTAAGATCCAAGACAGGTGAATTACTTACTACAATAAATGACCACGTATAGAGATGGAAAGAGCATTTTTAGGAGATGCTAGGCACGCCCACTGAAAATGCAGATGAAATTGTCGAAAACAGCAGAAATAACAAAAATCGATAACATTGCTGCCGAAATACGTAAATCCGCATCTAACTGCTGAACTTTTGGTCCCCATAATCCGAGAGGTGTGGGAAACAAACCTCATTCCAGCGGGCTGGAGAAGGGATAACATTATTAAGCTTTCAAAAAAGGGCAACGTCACACTGTGCAAAAATTGGAGAGGCATAACCTTGCTTACCGCAATAAATAAAATCTGCACGACATCATACTTAAAAGAATAACGAACAAGATTGAATTTCGAGCTGGTCAAGCAGGCTTTAGACCAGAATCCTCCTGCATAGATCACATTAATACTGTGAGGGTAATGATGGAACAATTGGTTGAATGGAACACATCCCTACACATGGTTTTGTGTCACAGAAAATGGTCGCAACTTTTGTGTCAAAATCTTGTCATGTGGCAAAAATTGCCTTAGAAGATCGAAGAACGGTTACTTCTGATTGGTATACAACCGTTTGTTTACCAGAAGTTATAGTGAAACTCCGATAAAGCAACACACAATGGCGAATCACCCTATATCAGGACAATGCTCACACTGCCCAAAAGACAATAGTCTTTGTCGTGCATTTTCATCCAATAAGCTTGAATCACTGTTATATTCACCTTATATATCAGGTTCTTCTTCGTCACTCGGGTTGTACTCTGAACCGGATAACACACATTCATCAGAATCCTCCTCTAACAATTTGAGCAACTGCGCCTCTGCCAACTTTTTATTTTTATTGTATTATTTTTACTTGTACTTGGTAAATTATCCATGATCTGAAAGACAAATTTTAATTAAAAGTAACTTTACTATCACCATTTTTCATTAGTTAAATGTAAGCAAAAACATTTGAGGTTATGTAAAATAAATACTGTAATATTTTGTTTATCCTTACAAATGTTCAAGCAACAAGTTTTTAAAACGAATAAACTACATATACTTACTTCATATAATTTCAAATTCACCAAAAAAACTGCTAATTCCGTAGAAAAACTTGATAATGAATGCCACTAATCGTTTCTACAACGCCTTATTAACTGTCGTTACAAGCTATTTACGACATTATCGCGCCTAACAAAATAAAATAAGCTAGCTATGGGTTCATAGTGTGCCACAGTAAAACTAGTTGAGCGTCCTCACAGTGCCGACCGTTATAATAATTCTGAAAGTTAAATACGCACAAGTAACACCGGTGATCCTAATGGCACAATTGTAATCTGTTAGTTAGGATCGCCGGTGATCCTTGTGTTAGCCAATGTGTTAATATTTCATTAATTATTTAATTATATTATTATTAAGTATTCTAAATTGTATTTTAGCAAGAACCAATTCACGTCGTCGTAACCGGAGCCGCCGGTCAGATTGCATACTCACTTCTGTACATGATCGCTAAGGGAGATGTCTTCGGCCCCAACCAAACGTTAGTCCTCCGCCTTTTGGATATCCCACCAATGATGGGTGTGTTAGAAGGAGTCGTAATGGAACTCGCCGATTGCGCCCTTCCACTTTTAAGAGAAGTCATTCCAACTGCCGATCCAGTTGTAGCATTTAAGGACGTTTCAGCTGCGTTCCTTGTAGGAGCCATGCCCAGAAAAGAAGGTAAGTTATTACTCAGGTCCTGTCAACCCAACATATATATTACAATTTTATCCCGGTCCTTATTACAACCAATTGACTTATTCTATATCTTTTATTAACTATTATATGGGCCATATGAACTTGCTGTTGCGAACACCTAGTCCATATGGTCAAATCGTGCATACACATTTACCTTCGCCTATTTTGGCGTTAAAATTTTCCATGATTACCGTTATGTCTTTAGATTTTGTAAGTTGTAATGTCTTTTCAAGTTCAGTGTAAAATTCTTCGACCTCTTATTTCTCCTTGTTAGCAGTTGGTGCATAAATCTGTATTACATTTAGTTTTCCGTGGGATGTCGTCAATTGATCAATTATTGTTCCGAATATCGTATTACTGATTTTATTATTTTTTCGTTAAGTATAATATCGACTTAATATCTGTATTGTCTCTGTCTCCCGAATAATATATTCTTTCTTTCTATTGCGGTGAAATGAGACTAGGCGAAAACCTTAACTTTCATAAAACGCTCATCACTAAAACTATCTCTGTTGTCATTTTTTTCCAATTGATTTGTTTTTTAACCCAATCATAACGAGTATACTTTCATTCAACTCGTTATGCAGGGTAAAGTATTTGGCAGAAGAGGACCGGGACGCCGTCGTATCTCGTGGTTGAAAAATCTACGACATTGGTTTGGGATGACCTCAGCGGAGCTGTTTCGCAGAGCAGTCAACAAAACCATGATAGCCTTGATGATCGCCAACATCCGAACCGGATAAGGCACTGAAGAAGAAGAAGATACTTTCATTCGACTGTCATGCATGCATACTGATCGTGGACTGTACTTCAGAAGACTGCTTTGTTGCAGACTGCGTTGGATAGTGCGCAGACTTGTTTGTAGTGCAGCGTCAATAACTTGCTCTTGCAATTGACGAGTAGTTAATAGTGGATGAGCATCTAATGCTATTTAATACAATATATATAGAACTGGAATAATACCTAGAGAATGGCTCCGTTCGACCTTTATACTACTGCCAAAAAAGGCAAATACAAAGGAATGCAACGAATATCGTACGATAGCTTTGATGAGTCATGCTCTAAAACTGTTCTTAAAAATAATCCATAATAGGATCTATAGGAAATTAGACGTAGACATCAGTAACACTCAGATGGGATTCAGAAAAGGGCTGGGTACAAGGGAGGCTCTGTTTGCAATGAACGTTCTCTCACAGAGATGCTTAGACATGAACCAAGAAATTTACGCCTGCTTTATTGATTTCGAAAAGGACTTTGACAAAGTACAACATGAACCACTAAGACAAGTTCTAATAAAGAAAAATATAGACAGCCGAGATATTCGAATTATATGCAATCTATATTGGAATCAAACAGCAAATGTCAAGGTTGAGGGCAGACTAACAGAAGAAATTCAAATCCGTCGAGGAGTCCGGCAGGGATGTATCTTATCGCCACTTTTATTTAATCTGTATAGTGAAGCTATCTGTGAACAAGCACTCGAGGAAGAAGATCTTGGTCTGATAATAAATGGTGAGACGATCAACAATATAAGGTATGCTGACGATACAGTTCTCCTAACGGGAACGCTAGCAGAACTACAACATCTCGTTCAAAGTCTCAATATATACTGTAACAGTTACGGCTTGAAAATTAATTTGAAAAAAACTAAATTTATGGTAATCACGAAATCAAAGAACATCAGAGCTAATCTTGTAATAGACAATACAACGATTGAGCGTGTGCCCTGTTATAAATATCTAGGTGCTTGGATCACAGACGATACTGATCAAACAAAAGAGATTAGATGTAGAATAGAAATCGCTAGATCAGTCTTTAATAGAATGCGCAAACTCTTTTGCAATCGTGATATCAATATAAAGTTACGAATACGAATGCTGCGGTGTTATGTCTTTTCTACCCTGTTATATGGAGTTGAGGCTTGGACACTAAAACAGTTGACAATAAAAAACATCGAAGCTTTCGAGATGTGGTGCTATAGGCGCATTCTCAGAATATCATGGATGGACCGCGTCACTAACACGCAAGTGCTCCAGACTTTGGACAAAAGATGCGAAATTCTAAATGAGATAAAAACTAGAAAGATGGAATACTTGGGGCACATTGTGAGAGGTGAAAAGTACGAACTTTTAAGAAACATCATGCAGGGCAAAATTAAGGGCAAAAGAAGTGTGGGAAGAAGAAAAATATCGTGGCTTCGTAATCTACGTGAATGGTTCGGATGTAGTTCGATTGAACTTTTCAGGCGCGCTGCTAACAAAGTCGCAGTGGCCATGATGATTTCCAATCTCCGCTAGGAGTGGCACGAGAAGAAGAAGAAGAGCATCTAATATGCGAGCCAGAAGAGGTGATGTTTGAACTGAAAGAATTTTGTTCTCTCTGCAACCATTTATTTTTTAAAGTCAACCATGGAGCAATTGAATAGCGAATTAAGATCATTATTTTTCTTTCAAGTCTAACTTTTATATGCCTTATGAAATATTATTAATATCAACTTCTAATGCCATTAACCACTACTGAGATGAAAACAATGTATTCATGCATATTTAATGCCAGGTTCCTTCAAACAATTTTCAAAACATCGAATTTTTTTTCAAAAAATACTAGAAAATACTGTTAAGAATAGTATAGAATTAATTCCGAAGGCCTGCGTGAACTTGAAGTAGATAGAGAAGAGGAAAGAGCAGAGCACTTCAAGTGGTTAATCCGACCATTCAAGCGGACGGGTTTTAATGGGCTTTTCTTAAAACCACGTTTTTTCATCTAGGTGGCACTCGTATTTCGAAACTATTGTACTTATCAAGATGAACTAAGCGGCATTTTACTCTTTAAATGTCTCTCTATGGTCGGTACTACAGCCAAAAATATTCATTGTTATTTAAAAAAGTTATAAACAATTAAAAGTGACTATTTCGCTAGACTATTTTTAACTGATAAAACGTCATGGCAACGCCACGTTTTCTACTGACAAAACTCCTTCCTGTCCGTGATTTCTCAGCGACAAAATTATGACAGATCTGTCACGAAGGTGTCAGAAGTCCAGAAGCTCTATTTGGACCCATTTTTGGGAGTTCCTGGGGGGTGAGGAATTTTACGCTTAAAATATGTAGTACCATAACGAAACTAGCAAGAGTCGTCTGTGAAGTCGATGTGGATTATTACAGCGAAAATGGTCAAAGAAAAGTATTTTACAGATTACGGCATAAAAATCGACCCTTTCATAGATATATCTTTCAAATGTGCAAGGTGGACCAGAGATACAAAGCGAAGGCAGCTTCAAAGCGTTTAAGAAAAAAGAAAACTAGTTCAAAAGCATTATCCACCGAAGAACTATTAAAAATCATCCAAAGTTACAACGAGGAAACCCCCAATGGAGCACAAAATATGTTTTTTCACCTTTGCTCATTTGAACTTGCTTGGAGAGGCAATGAGGCCATAAACTGCAAGATTCACTTTTTCCAGAAGGAATTTGATGTTATGTGAGAATTTACGGGCCGATTTGAATAAACAGCATTTTTTCCAAAACAAATCAAGGCAGTTGGAAAAGTTTGGCAAGCAGCAAATGGCTGGTAAGAAATTGCTCAAACGAAAATTTATGCCCAGTTAGATTACTTTTGAAATTAATGGAAAAGGGGGACCAAAGATTGTATCAGACAGACTCTTACCGTTCACCCCAACTGAAAGGATGGATCTTGGTTCAAAAACTGTCCACTTGGAATCAACAACGTATCTAAGTGGACAAAAATGTCAGCTGAAAAAATTTGAATATACATAAAAAAATACAAAATAACAAATCATTCTCATCAATCTTCAGCTGTGTTAGCCTTGTTCAAGCAAAGAGTTTCTGAAAAGGAGTTAATTGAATTAACCACTCAAATGCAAGCTCTCTAAAATCATATCTGCAGCTGAATTCCAGTCGCCATCAGAAGTTGATCGAAAATCTCAGAACAACAAATGAAGCTGGTCCTTCGAGTTCTCAAATGCTACAATTCAAAATACACAAAATCATGCTTTGGCAGAAAATAATGGGCAAACTACTATAGCTTATGATAATTTGTATAATAACATTCTTGTCGAATAACATTCGAGACAACAACTTGTCGAATAAACATTCGAGAGAAAATTATTTACCGATAACATTTTCTTCTGGTTTCATTCAAGTTTGTTGCCTATTGGCAATTTTCGCTTATGAAATTTTGACAAAATCATCGACTGACGTCTCGTGATTTAACTGTCAAAATTTAATTCGTGAAAATTTCAAGGCAACAAACTTTCATACCAGTCAAAAATATTGCCTGCAAAATTTTCTCTCTTATGATACTATATACAAAAAAGTCCTCCATTTTTTTTCGGTGAAAATGATTCATTGTAGCACCGACCATAGGCATTTAGATACAGAATATGAAACCATTTAGTTTTTTTAATTCGGATGACTTGTTTTCAAGAAATGATGACACCCACCAACAAATTGGATGAGTTTGGGCAGCTATTTTCAGAGGAGCCATTAAAAAAAAAAGAAAAAAAATTTCAAGTAGTTTAATGTATTTCACCTGTAAATAGTTTGATTTTTAAATATCGTTTGTAATGCGAGGAAAATTTATTTTAAAAAACACGGTTTTTGGGGGGAAACTGGCCTTAAGTGAATCAAGATTATTTGTTTTGTACATTAACCATAGAACAGATGAAAATGGTCATCTTACAAACTACAAAGAGGACACCCTTAAAATAGATGAAGACTTTTACAAATTGCTGTACACAAGTCAACATAAAGCAAATAGCAGAAAAGATCAAGTACCAGAAATATTAATAACGAAAAAGGGCATTGCCAACCAAGGATCAGAACTACTACCGGAAATTACAATAGACGAAATAAAACTAGCCCTAAGAAAATTTAAGAATAACAAATCTCCAGGCGAACTACAAAGAGGAATAAACCTGGCATGGGCAGCCTATGGAAAAGTTTTGACCAATGTGTGCTGCCTGTGATGACCCATGGAGTCGAAGAGGAAAATGGAAAGGTCAATGCTGAGTATATCACTTCGTGACCGAGTTAGACATGAAGACTTAAGACGAAGAACAGGAGTTATCGATGTAATTTCCCGAATTGCCACACTGAAATGGAACTTGGCCGGACACGTCGCCCGAATCACAGATGAAATGTGAACGAAGAGATTGCTTAAATGGGGTCAAGGAAAAAATTGGATGAAAAGTGATCAAGATAGAGCACACTAGACAAAAATGAGGAAGGCCTGTGTCCAGCAGTGGACGCAAAGAGCTGGGTGATGATGATGACATTAAACGTAGGGTGAGCAAGTAATTGTACACCAAATGTATTAATTAAAAAATAATATACCATTAGAAAATAACTTCAGCTTCAAAAGTATTTGATTTTTCATTTTAAGTTTGTTTATTTCATCGAGTTAGAATCTATGGAGAAGCTATAAGCATATTAACGTATGTATTAAAAACGGCATAGGTAGGAGTGGCTAAAGATAATACCAATATGGCGGTGACATCAGGGCCAGACTCAATAATAATAAAACTACTATACAAATATGACTAGTTATTCAGAAGATTTAATCATAATCTAAAAAAGTGCAATACATTTTTAATAAACTGTGATTTATTTATCCCGCGATAAACACTAAAAACACGATATATTATACATAAAGATAAATTAATACAGTCAAATAGTATTAATTTATTCTCTGAAGTACGGGCCATTACTTTGTTTACATATTTGTATACTAACCTGTGGAACGATATTCCTGAAGATTTTTCATTAACATTACTTCTGCTACTGCAACTACGTTGAGAACAAGAAACCATTATTATGCACTATCACAATATATTACAGTTTCTATAAAAGTATTATAAAACTGAAAATATTCGAAAAACAACAAATATAACCAAACATATACGATCTGTTAAAAGTTTCAAAACAATAATACCAATATGGCCGAAGTTAGGTCGTTTTTAGTCACGTGATGCCCTCTCCATAGATTCTAACTCGATGGTTTATTTCTAGTTTATCTTCCAAGTTATATTGTCGTGGTTATTATGTTTTTGATAACCATAAACATAAATAAAATCTAAGGTTTTGTTTTAGTACCAATTGTAACGCCATGTATTTTTAATTTTTACAGGCATGGAACGTAAAGATTTACTCGCTGCCAACGTCAAAATCTTCAAAGTACAAGGTGAAGCTTTAGACAAACACGCCAAAAAAGACGTAAAAGTATTAGTCGTTGGTAATCCCGCCAACACCAATGCTCTAATTTGCTCAAAATACGCTCCATCCATTCCAAAAGAAAACTTCACAGCTATGACCAGATTGGACCAAAACAGAGCTCAAGCCCAGATTGCAGCCAAAGTTGGTGTTCCAATTGAAAACGTAAGTTTGTTGTAGTAAGCTCATAGAAAAGAATACTTGATTAAATGGAATTCAGGTTCAAAGTGTACATTATAAAAATGAAGACAGATATGAGGCTGTGAAAGGAAAAGTGGTGTAAGTCATCTGAGCATCATTTTGAGATACAAAAGGTTTTATTAGAAATATTGTAATTACATCTATGTAACATTTATAAACATGCTTGTGGTATTTTTTTATTTATGTAACTCTACTAACATTTTTGTACAAATAGAACTATGTTAAGGGTAGTTTTTAAGGGGTGAAATGACTTACACCACTTTTCCTTGGTAGGAATGTATGGTAGTAAATCACACATATCCCGATTTTTGGCTGGCATGACTGGTCGACGTGCTATGTACAGGTAATCCGGTTGAAGATTTTTTAACAATGTTGGTCTTCCCTTCTGCTTGCTTCGAAGGATATTAATTTGTGAAAAGCAAAAAATCTGTTTCTTTATATGACACTGATTGGTTATCCGTATTGGTTTTTCTTTTTGTTGATTTTGGTTGATTTAGTGAGTTGTGTCATATCTTTAAAGTCTTCTCTAAGCATTTTTGTGAAAATGAATGCGTTTTTTCTTTCTACGCCGAACTATGACTGAAAACCAATCTTCAGGCACATAAATCTGTTTACCTTTAGAGTGAGTTTCAATTGAACCAGAGTCGTTTGGTAAGAGTGTCCGCCTACTATAGACTTGTGATAAGCTATTTAGATACTATTATTTTCACTTTGAACTAACTATAACAAGGCCAAGGAAAAATTCCAGTATATATTTTGGCCGGTGTAGCTGTCACTGTACAATACATGTTTTGAATTTGCTGCACGTAATTCTATGTGCTTTGTGACACAGGCACTGATTTCCTGAGATCCTCTCGAAGCTGTTATTTCATCCCATCCATACATGTAGCCTAAGCCAGATGATAGCTCATAGCAGCCAAAGTTGTAAATGTTACAATTACTGTATTACGGTTACAGTATGCGATAGGTGTGATAATTTTGGGAAAGCTAGGGCTTTCTGTAGGTCAAAAGTGAATGCTTAAGAATCGTCATTTTTCGAAATCGAAAAGCTCGGCCTTTCTAAGATGAAATTCGTGCTCTATTTCAATCTGTCTTATCTCATTATCATCTGTTATTGCAGCTTTTTTAATTTGTAAGTATCACGCTTAGAGCATGTATCTTTTTGTGGTACATGAAAATGAAGGTTATTGAACATTATTTAATGTACGACGATAAATATCACAGGAAACGGGGATAGTGCCTTGTTGCTGACAGTACTCCTTCTTATTCCTTCTTATTCCTTGTATAGTGCGTTTGGTAAAATGGAAAATTTTCAATATGTTTCAACATCTGAAAGGTTCCAAGAAAGTATTTTTTACATACTTTCGGGGTTTCGCCTTGTTTATGAATAAAATATTGATTAGACACTGTTTTATCGGGTCGTGACTGATCCCTAGGACGTTTGATCAAACCACAAATAAAAGCATTCTGTGCTGTAGATGATTTCAATTTCCAGAATGATGTTTTTCTATCTTCACGATATCGTTTCAAAACATTTTTTATTGCAAAAACAGTTGTTCTTTGAAAAAGTTTTACCTGTACTACTTTTCCTTTTGTTGTCTTATGCCTCGCAACCTGAGTTGCGAAGCCACTTCCTTTTTTTTATTTTCATGCCTCTATCGTTTTCATGCTCTCTTGGGTTGTTGAATTTCTACTTCTTCTCTATTACATTTTCTTTCATGGTCTTACTTCCTCGTTTGATTCACAGTCTGAAAAAACCAACTTTATTAAAATAACACTCAAAAACGTTGTTTTATTTATAGCTTATTTATTGTTAGTGTAGAGAATTTAACATTTTGAGGTTAGTTTTGATTTTATACAAATAAATATAAAACACAAGTTTAACTTACCAGTACTTTCTTGTTGAGGATCAGAAGGTACCCACTCATCTCCTGCCTAAGCGAAAATATTAGGCTCATCACTCACATTACTTAAACTGTCGTCATCCATTGTATTGAAAAATCACAACTGCAAATTACTAAATAACTGCCTTAGAAATGAAGGAATAGTGGTGTAAGTCTGACTTGCAACACCATTCCCCCTACTACTACAGAGATTTTGTTTTACTGTTAAGTTTGTGCTGCTATCTTTGAGCAAATAGAAGAGATATAACTTACACCACTGTTGCTTCTGATAGATTTGAATATGCACGTATCTCTATTTTATAAAAAAGTGACTTATTATTATTCTATTGTGCAGTTCCTGATGTTTTATTTTGCACCTATATATTACTATTCTCGTGGAAGTATCAACAATTTTAATTTGTTACACATATAGTTTACTTGTTAGTTTGAATTCCCCTTTCTGAAGATTTCGTGATTTCCTTTGTACAAATTGATATTCAAACTGATCTTACTCATATACATTCTTGCTATCTCCTCAATGATATGTTATTATAAAGCTATATCGTTGATTTAGTTTCAGTTCTCTTTCTTATTTACATTATTTCTTAGTCAAAGGTTTCAAATGCACGATCTAAAGGAAGCTTTTAGATCTTAGATTTTCGAGGAGCTTAATGGTGCTGATATATTTACTTTCTTACATGGTCTCTCCAAGCTTTTTGTATATTTTTAGGTAAGCAATGTAATCATTTGGGGAAACCACTCATCCACTCAATTCCCTGATGCTTCCCACGCTGTCGTTGTTGTTGACAACAAATCGGTACCTGCTGTTGAAGCTGTCAAAGATGGAGAATGGCTTAGAAATGTATTCGTTTCCACCGTACAAAAGAGAGGTAAGTTAAAATAAACATTTTTAACAATTTAAACAGAAAACATATGTACTCACAATTGATTAGTAGGGGTAATTCGCAGTTGCCTTTTCTAGCCAGGAAATTACTTTCTCAGTTAGCATGTGCCATTTTTCTTATCTGCAAATGTCATTGTCATTTTGTCATTAAAATGCTTTAAAAATAAATTAGAATTAAATCGGTATTTTTTTGATACTAAAACGATAATATTGTTAAGAATTTTCTGTAGTTCTTTACACTATTTGCTAACTTCTGTATGTAGTACTACAAAAACAAGATGGTTTGCTTCTTTATTATAGTTAATATTATAATCTATAGTGCAATACAGTTTTATTCATTGCCAAATATTTTCTACCTAAAATTATAAACCATCATAATTTCTAGGTGCTGCCGTCATTGCTGCAAGAAAAATGTCTTCAGCTATGTCTGCGGCCAAAGCAGCAGCCGACCACATGCGTGATTGGTTCCTAGGTACACCTGACAACAAATTCGTGTCTATGGGAGTATTAAGTGACGGTAGCTATGGTGCACCAAAAGATGTCGTCTTCTCCTTCCCTGTTAATATTAAAAATGGCAAATGGCAAATTGTCCAAGGTAAGCACATCTATAGTCTGTCATTCCATCACATTAGGTAGCTGTGGGGATATGCTACAGAACTGTTTATTGACTGAAAAATGCGGATGTTCACAAACAATTTAAAATTTTAAAATGTTTGAAAAATCTTTTTTTGTGCATGTAGATTATATGTATCTCATTTTAGGTCTGCAAAACGACGACTTCGCCAAAGGACTTTTGGCCCTCACCGGAAAGGAACTCGAAGAGGAGAGAGCCGACGCTATCTCCATCATCGGAGCATGACTAGCTAACAAACTTTAGAACGTTAAACAAAAAGAAATAAGTAATTACGCCTGACGTATATACTTGTATGCTTGCAAGTAGTGGGCACAGAAGTAAATAATCATTATAGATAAAAATCAATTGAACATCAGGCAAGGCTAACTGATCAACATTACATTTATACATATTGTAAAAAAGTACTATTTTATTAAAGAATTCTTTTTGTAATTTCTTGTATTTATTCAAATATATAATTGAAGTAGTTGTCAGCCGATGAGGAACATGTGTTAATGATATTTGTCGACCACCAAAAGTATCAATTTTTCGTTTCAAAACGGATGTTTCCAGCATATAATTTACAAAATTTCACAGATCTGATTTTAAGTTGTTGAATTTGCTCTCTCCTCTCTTTAATAATTTCAAATATGACATAGGCACCTTCAAACACTGGGCGGCGTGATAAACGTGCGATTTCCTAGGAGGTAGGAAACATGTCTATCCACGTATGTTACATTCTATAAAACATCGATGATATAATCGATATATTTTGAGTTTAATTAATAACTTACTTGTGCTTTTCACTTGTCCTAATTTCAAAATAGATGTTTATTTTCCTCTAATAATAGTAAGACCCGGACTGGCACAATTCAGTGGAGATCGTCATTTTTAAGAAAACCGCAAATGTTGGCGACCGAATATTCTGCTGCGGATTCATTTTCCATTTCGGTTCAATTGATTCTAGCAGACAATCCTAGGGAACTGTAGCTATAAGCAGACTACATCAAAATATATTAGATAATGCATTGTGATCTAGTTTATGGTGTAGCAGGGCTTGCTTCACTGGAAGCTGCCTTGATCGCTATAATACCCGAAGTTAGTGACCCTTTAACTTAATTTGATTAACTGATCTACCGCTTGATTGAATATTTTATCTATGAAGAGTATAGACTTCTGCCGAACGTAATTTTTGCGAAAATGTTAAGTTTGAAAATATTTTTATTTGTAAAATCAAGGTTTTTAAGAGTTTGACATCTTTTTTTATTTCTAGTCATTCTATTCTTTACAGATTTATGCCATAGTTTTTTCTTTACATAGTATATTATGAAACATTAAATTAATCAAAGGAATATAAAGGGTTGTGACCTTCAGAGTTGTAACTGAGAAATCAATATTGAAGATAAAAACCACCAATAAAATATTGAAATCACCAACAAGATCTATCAAGATCCAGTGAAGCTGGAGATTCAAGAGAAATTGCAAAGATCATATTTAGTGGTTGGGTTAAGTCGCAGATCTGGAGTGTGAATCAATCATGCCAAGGCTGTGAATCAATCTTACCTGCAGCTATGATCATATTACAAGACATTGCGTCTAATTAAGAGTAAGATTGAACATTCAGGCAGTAAATTTTGGGGGAATTACATGGGAGCTCAATATATACTCACAATGTTGCGTTGCCAGATAGTATTGAAATATTGAAAGGTTATTATTATTGTTACTTGTTCTGTTAAGAGGAATGTAATTGAAAATTAAAACGAAAAAAATAATTGTGATTAAAAATTTGCATTATTAAATTTAAATGAAAAACACACTACTACTTGATAAAATATTCATATTAATAATATTGTGAGATCTCTTAAAGCTATATGGATTTAGAAAATTAATAACACCAACAAATTATAACAAAACTAAGATTCTTAATACAGAATCTTACATAATATATCTTAATACATTGTGGAATTTTAACAAATTTTTTATATTTAAACGTTACTGTATTACTATTCAGAAAGATTCAAGGAAGATCTGTTGGCCGAAGGCAGAACTCATGGTTAAAGAATCTACGTGATTGGTATCAATGCGGATCGATTGATTTGTTTAGAGCAGCAAGTTCTAAAATAAAAATAGCCATTATGATTGCCAACCTCCGTAGAGAGACGGCACTCTAAGAAGAAGTATTATTATCTTTCATACAGCACTTATTGTTATCAGTGGTAATCCATTATCAAACTCTGTTCAACGACTCCAAAAACCGCTGGGTAATGAGTTTGCACAAAACTGCAGGAGATGAGGCCCAGGTGCAACATATGCCATATATATTGAACTAATTTTCGTCAATTATTTGCAAATGACATATTTATCATTTTTCATCACTTCGAAATGCACTTTGGAAAATGCATTTTCCTTGTTCAATAATGCAATTTTGGATCAGATCTTACCATGACGAAGAAAGTAGTTGAAATGGTGTAAAATTTATCGATCTTAACAACAGTTCAATATGTTTCTATGCATTGCCTCATTGCAATGAATTTTTAATCTAAAAAGCTGGATATCAATAAAGATTTTAATTGCAAATATGGTATTTTTATTGAAAAATGTTTTAGTTTTTAGCAAAGCTTCTAAAATTACTTGTTAGCAAAGAAGATATAGGTTATATTAAGTTGGTTGGATATAGGTTATATTCACAAAAACTGTATTTGAATGATTTTTATGGTAATCTTTAAACCCTAAACTATACGTTTAAACATTTTTTATGTAGCAGTAGTTTTACTGTTTTTTTTTCTTATGATTTAGTAGCCCAAATACCAGGGTGAGGTTTAAAAAGATACCAAAAATTACAGTTACCGTTAGTTAAATTCGTCTCATTTTTCATGTTTGCCAATATGATTTATTTCTTGGTAATTTCCCAATATCATTTCTTCCAGCCAATGCATTTTTTAAAAATTTGCAGTATTAACTAATAACATAATAATACTCTCACAAGGACAATTGGACAATATGCTCTAAGTCTCCAAGAGCTTTCATTTGACATATGCCTTTAACTTCAGAAACCACTGCTTATTTACTGAATTATTTTGTGTCCACTAAAATAGACAATAAACATTAGATTTTTATTTTATTTTTGTCATAATGAAAAAAAAATAGATATATCAAAAATCACTTAAGTATTTGCGTAAGTAAAAAACAAAATCATACAATTCAAAAACAAGCGTACGAGTGGAAAAGATCATTAAAAATTCCATATGAACGCTTAATTTTCCGGTAAATTTTCACTTAGTGGTCTGAAAGGTATTTGAGAGATCAATCACAATCACTGTCTAGATTGAATTGCAATCAGCACATTAATGAATATATTTCTACCATTTTACAACTTTTATTTTTAAATGTTGTACAAAAGGAAAATACTTTCCCTTCTGGATGTGAGACCAAGTAAAAAGGAGTTAAATAGATTGGCCAATAAGGTAATAACAAAATATACAGCAAACTGCTCACCACAAATTAAGCTCTGTAGACTTCGGGTAGCCAACCATAAATTAAATGCGTTCACCAACTCTACTGGATCCTCTGGCCGCAATTTATTACGTCCTTATGGCTCAATGTACATAATGTATATAGTAAGGAATGTTATAGGTCAATACGTGGAAAATTATTTCTGTAAATATATTTTAGGGATCTTAAATTAAAAGGAATTTGCAATTAATTTCTTACTAAAATCACTTTTAAACTCAGCTAAGATATTTCTAATTTGGTTGAAGAATTATGCTATCACTTCTTCCAACAAAATACTATGGGAATATATAGAAGACTAGAAAAATGTCAAACTCTATCAATAAAACATTTTAATTTTTTGTTTAACGTTTTAAAGTTTGGTTTACTTATATTTTAAATTAATCTCCCAACATTTGTATTCATTATTTCTCATTGTCCTTTTTCGGCGCTTTTCAAAACCGGCTAGCATATTTTTATGAGTATAATGCAGGTAAACATTTTGTTTAGTGTGATGAATGAATGCGTTTTTACTATATGACGTTAGCTTCATTGTTTTTACAAAATGTATACTAGAATCCTATCTGAACTACAAGATGTTCGCACAACAAATTTACAACTTTATGATCTTCGTTGAAATAAAATTTTCAATAGAAAACAACTAATCTTGTACATTTATAATACGCATGTTCGTTTTTCTATACATGTTCCTTAACTATAAGTTACCCGTTCTGTGCCGAATGCTGTCAGTGGAAATTGTTAGGATAGGTTTTTGAGGATTCCTTGTATATTTTTGCTTCAAACCTAATTTATTTTTGTGGCTGATACCACACAAATATGCGAAATTTAAATCTTTCCGAAACAAATATCTGTATTGGGTAAGCAATTAATAAATAAACTAAATACTGATACCAAGTACTTCTTTTAAGTTGATATTTTGTTGTGCGAATATAAATTAAATTTTATCTAATAATTGTACTTTTTATAAATGTATTTTGTTAGATGCGAAGCTAACAAATACATAGTTGGATACAAATGTTAGGAATTTTAATTCTTATGTATATATTTACATTTATGCAGCATTTATGTGTTTGGGTAAGGTATTTTTGTTCGGTTTAGGTTTTATTATATTTTCCATTTTATATTTTAAAATGTTCTCTTAAAGCAAATAAAATTATTTTTGTTAGTTGAACTTTGTTTAATTTATAGCAATAGAAATTATCATACCGACTATAAATATTCATATAAATATGAATGAACTAATAAAATTGAAACACATTCAGAAGGAAACATGGGTAGACTACTTTCGATACTTGTTTGCTAAAGGTGACGATGATGAACCACCAACAGCAGAAATGGCGACAAACGAAGAAATTATTATTGAGGAGGAAGAGGTAAAGGAAGCATTAAGGAAATTAAAAAACATAAAATCACCAGGAGAGGACAAAATACCGAACGAATTCCTAAAGTACGGAGGAAAAGATCTGACCAAACAACTAATAAAACTAATTTAAAAAATAATAGAACAAAACAGAATTTCTCAAGAATGAAGATCAAACATCCTAATGCCTCTCTTCAAAAAGAGAGACAAATCGTAACCGAAAAAGTACAAATTAATTAGTTTATTAAACACAACACTAAAATTAACAATCTATGTTTCGTGGACCTTACAAAGGCATTTGACCGGATCAAATTAAAAGACGTTATCCACTTACTGTATGTAAGAGAGATATCCCTAGGAATAATCAAAACAATCGAAAATATCTACCAAAACAACACAA